TTCAGGAGAAAACCTACTTTTAATATATAGACACAAACACGCCCCAAATTCAACCTTTTTTAAACGCCTTATGAGAAAACCAAAACCTGACCAGAATGCAATACACATCTGTCGATTATTTCAGGCATCGCAAAAGTTAAACGCCCAGAACAACATTGATACTATAAAATTATCATGAACACTATATTTAAATTCCTATTGTTATTTATAACGTACAAAATAATGATGGTGTATGAGTCACGGCGTGAGAAGAGTCGCCGTGAGTCCCAGGCGCAACGCGTGGGCGATCCAGTCCTGTGCATACGCAGGCGTACTAACAAATTACGTTTACCTACTCCCGACCACAACAATCCGAGTCTAGTAAGTTAATGTACCGTGCATCTACAAGATACCTATAGAATTAGAATATTATGTGTATAATACGAACATTTGTATGCGTGAGAAATGGTTAAGTAGACATCCACTGAACATTCAGAGAGTACTGGGGCATCATCATGCTTTCATTGTAAGTGAATTGTACTGGCACTGTACACAATGCTTGTGAAAACGATTCGTTGAAGTAATGGCTTATAAATATCTTGGCCTTTTCGTAACACAAAAAATAAATTAAGTGAAAATATGATTCTAATGCGTATTAAATAAAACTGGCTTTAACCAAAGGGTAATTTTGTATCTATGTGCTTTGCAATGCGCTTAGATTAAGAGTTAAGTCTCCACATTTTTTTGTGTTTTCTTATAAATAATCTAATGCTTTTTAGTCACAATAGAGTTCTAATTTATAAACTAAACAACTAAAATTGCCTTTACACATTCTTATTACATTAAACTGGACACTGACATCCAATATTTTATGACTCGTTATTTAAAAAAAATCTTTGCAATTTTTTTTAACAATACGTACAAATCTAACACAAAGTATAAATCAGTTTATAAATCAGTCCGTGGGAGAGCCATGCTAACCGTGGGAGAGTCATGCTTCGTCGTAAATGTCAGGCTCGACCAGAGTGAGTAAGGTTCCCGGCACCCAAACTCCTCCTCCTCATGAAACTGGGGATACAGGGAAGGCAAAAGTAGGGAAGGCAGAAGGCAAACTAACTAGTAACTCTTGGGTTGCAGTCCGTGAGGTGCGGTACTCACTTACTATCAACTGACCAGACCAAACATTGCCAGGGATATACGGAAAAGGATTAAAGCATTTTATTCTGAAAAAAATTACCGTTACCAAAGGACCGTTACCGAAGGAAAAAGTTTAACTATTTTCATATTTATTAGATGCATTTTAGTTATGAGTTTGTTGCCTAGACAACGATTTTAATATATCTGTAGCACCAACGCAGACTGTAACATTAGAATATTGCCATCGTCCTTAGAAGGCTCGTACACTTTGACTTTGTTTGTTTATCGGTTTGATTTAGATCAAGTACACCCAGACACAGAACAAATGACCGGGCTCATCACACAATTATTTGTCCTGGGTGAGAATCGAACCCACGACCTCTGCCTGGTTGACGGCAATGTGCATCCCCCTATTAGGTGTATGTGGGTATTTATTTTGGGTGGGTATTTTAATGCACCCGTATCTTCCCCTTCGGGAATAAAAACACAAGTGTATGTATCTATAATAACAATACAATAACAATAACGATACTATAGTAATACTAAATTACACACTTAACTACTCGTATTAATTTGTCTAAAATCTTCTCGTATCTTCTTGGCTCAGCCTGGATAAAATAAATTATTGACAATGTTAGGTATATTTACCTCTGGTATATCGCAATAATCAAAACATAAAAATATTTATTACATTATTTATCAACTGGATAAATAAACTCAGTGAATATACCTATTATTTTGAATATCAACCAACACATAAGAGGAATTATTGAACATACATATTCTTTGATCCCTCCTTGTCTAATCGTAAATATTAATGACAAGCAAAATAATAAGTATGCAAAAGCCGTCATATAAGATAATGCGGATATACCACTGAGTAAACAATGGTAAAACAATTTTGTTTATGATCTGATGGATAGAGAGATATATATTATTTTATTAACTTTCAAAATACTCACATCAAATATTAGAAGAGGTGTATCCAAAAAAACCTTAAGTCGGCAAGCTAACATTAAATCAAAATATGCCAAAGTAACGAATACTACATTTTAATAAATCATATTAGAGAGGTATACAAGGAACTTAAAATCTTTAGCCAACATTTACCATTTCTCGTATGCTAAAGTAGATTTAGATTATACAGATTTAGCGTTGTTTGCGACTTATAATGCCTTTGTCGGCGAGTCTTAAAATCGGCTCAAACTGATTTCTTTTGAATTATGGAATAAATGTATCCATGTATTTATAGGTATTCCTAGATTTGCGCCACTGAGCCTGAGACTATGGCTAGTACAACTTGGTCAAAACGTCAAGCAATTGAAATATGTGGAATACCTATAAGTGATTGCGTTAATTCCCGTACATTTACCAATTATATGTATGTCTAGATATTGAATGCTTAACTTGAGAAAAATGGCTGACAGCGGATGGTTGGCGCTCCTTGGAGGACGCTTTGGTTCAGCAGTGGACGGCGAAAGGCTGATGATGATGAATAAACATTCATCATCATCAGCCTATTCCCAATGAAAAACAAAAATAACTTTAAGTTTTTCTGTATATATTATTGATTTAAAGTCGTAATAAAAAATTATTGTCCTACTGTTTATCCATCGTCTCGCTTGATATTATCCAATTCAATGATTTACGAAGGAGATTTCAAAGAAGTTTGTCTTAGTATTATCCCTCGTCTAAATTAACATATGAATTAGAGTTGGCAACAGAGCCGAGGCAATACCTATCTACAGTCTAAGACGCGTCAATAATTAATTAGCGCATGCGCGGCCTATATGTTCTGTACGAGGATTATAATCATACGCACGTGTGCACTACTCTGAACATAGGTACTTAAATCTAACACGAGCATTCGTGACGAACAATTTAGATCAAGTTAAACTAAAAGCGTTATACTCGTATAACATGTAGAAGTTATGGTTTCTAAAGTTATTACGACAGTATTGCATTGAAGATATACCTACATTGCCCTAACCTAACTAGAAATACGATACCTAAATCATGTTTCATAACGTAGCGTATGATCTCTAAGCGTTTACACTGTAAGCGTATCTTTTCATCGTTTATACAAAACTATAGGTTTTTGATATAAAACATCAAAGGAAGGAGGATCTGACCAGCTGTTCAAGTGGCGACGCGTTGCCACGGCATGCGTCGACACGCTGTGATTGTATATGTATCTGTTAGGTATGTATCTTTTTCTTAAAAAAATCTTAATATTAAGTATATTTTTAATTACGCTATATTTATTATTTCTTTTTATAAGCTATCCTTTTATGCTTGCTATTCCTATAAGACATATTTCCTATAAAACGCCAAACGTTCTGCGACAGTCCAATTATTTTTAATTTAATATTATTACTAGCTTTTGCCAGCCACTTCGTCCACGTGGTGGTCGACATCAGACATCTTAGAGGATACGCTATTACGCAGAAATGACAAAGTGTCATATAAATTTACAATCACCGTTTTGCACCCTTATTGGTGGAGTTTTTAGAAATCCTTTCTTAGTGCACACCTACGTCACCTAAGGAATATTTTTGCAAAATTTTATGCTTTTAGACCCAGCGATTTCAGCTATGCGCTGATCGATCGGACAGTGTATCAGTTTCTTAGTTTCTTCTTCTACTCGTATATATTAGATCTAACGAAACAAGTATGTATGAAGCCTAGCCTAAAAATTCTTTACTGTATGTAAATATAACTTATAATAAACAAATAAGAAACTTACTTCACTTAAGTACTTTATTTGTTTATTATAACCCCTATAGCTAATCATAATTATTGTTCTGGCGATGCACTGAGCTAATCTTAAGCTTTAGATATGACATGACACTACTACATAATTACATCACAGATACAAATGCCCGTCATTGAAAACATGAGGGCACGTCAGAATTTTTAACAAAACAGAAGTCGATACCACTACGAAAATATGTACTGTGAAGAGTGGACAAAGAGTTACGTTTAATTTTGGTTTAATAATATGTAGTTATACCTGTTATTACACGGCATATTTTTTGTTCTACTCTAATAAAATAAATAACTATGTACCCAGGTATCAGATCTTTTGGAGACGCAGGCTAGGTGGCACCTTTTTATTCATCACTTAATCAACATAAATCAATAATATTTCAATAGGTTTATAACTTATATTTTAGTATAATTAAAATAGCGTTTTGAACCAAAAGGAATAAATTGTAATCATGTAGTGCCTGCCCTTTGCAAAGTTCTTGCCTTCCCATCTAATACGTTTTGTGGCTTCAACCCAATCAACCCTTCGTTCTAATTAATGTTTAACGTTCAATTTACTAAATCGTATCTTACATATTTAATTTTCTACAACTTATGCGTTTAGTAGCTCACAACTTATAACATATTATGGACATACAAACACATACATTTGAGGAGTAATTGAAATGATTTTTATCTATACTAATAGAACAGGGTTCTTACTAATGTTTCACTCAGTAGTTCATTCTTTTTTTTTTAAGTTTTTAGCTTTACCTAGTTCAAATTATTGTATCAAAATTAAACTTTGTGTGCATACGAAGCAGTTACTATGTGATATATATATATATATATATATATATATATATATACATATTAAGAATATATATATAATATAATATTAAGAATAATATAATTTTTTTTAGGCACTCCATTCAGTATAATAATCAACGTTAACCTATACCGTCGGTTATCAATATATACAATATAGATTACATAATCATTGCGAGTCAAAATCCCTTTTATCTCTGAAGGCCACGATGTTATCTCCCACGTAGATCAAGTTGTTTGGTAAACGATATGTTAGTCTATACTACTTGAAGTTCTGTGTACGTCAGACATAAATTGTGGAATTCAAAATGCCCGAAATTATCAATGGTATTATTTATGGAGACCAAAATTTTATGATTCCTTCTCACATGAATTGTGGGAAATTCTTTATAGATAAATTGTTAAAATCTAAAGAGAAAATCGCTTTGGTAAGAGTTCCTGATTCAAGAGTGTTTTGTCTGTGTGTAAACTGTGGTACTGTGATGAATAATGATTTTTGTTTTCGAAGATCAATGGGGCCACAGGCGAGACAATTACGTTCGGTGATATGGTACAGCGGATAGTGAATACAGCAGGTGCTTTAACAAGATTAGGCATAAAACGTGATGATGTGGTCGGAGTGTGCAGTGAAAACAGAATGGAATATTTAATAACTGCAATAGCTATATGGTGTAGTGGAGCCACTGCAACATTTCTCAACTCTGGATATAGTAAAAGTGAGTCCATTTTAAATGTGAACTAGCAATTGCTTACGACTTAATTCACGTTTATGAATATTTTCTTCAAACAAAAAAGTTATGTATAACCGATTTCAAAAACGAGGAGGGTATAAATTCGGATTTTTATATATTTGTCATATACTGACGGTTTAAAATTATTTTTTTGTTCAAAAGGGGTTTATTTCGAAATAGTCCCATTTAAATTTCATATAGATCTGATGATGAGTTTCGGAAACATTCAGAACTCTTAAAAAATGACACCAAATCAATCACGATTGCTGCTAGGTTTTTTAGTGCTCTTTGTTTGTATTGTTTGAAGTCGGTTCAACTTTTTTTAAATAATTTATTCTTGTAAATCGCTCGAGTACACTAGTTTTTGTTTTTAAAGAACCCAATATCTTATTCTGTAACGCAGAAAACTTCGATGTTCCATTGGTTCACTAATAAATCAAACTCAAATTTACCCCAAAAAAACCAACCCCAGTTAGGATACTGAAGCTAGTGGTTGAACCTTAAATAATTTTTGATTCGGTATACATAGGATACATACGTTTTTCGATTTGCAATGAAATCCTTTTCAGTTTTATGTTTATTTTATATTATGATCGTCTGTAACATGACTTGAGATAAACGATTAAACGTGTTAATATTTTACTCTTCAAATAAGTAAGTCAGGAAGTTTTAATGAGGCGTTTATTTACTGCTCCGCTTTTAAGGATTGTACTGAGATTTTAAATTTTTCAACTTTTTGTCTAACAAGTACATGAAAGCTTCAATTTCAGCATCATTTGTTGTCAAACTTTAGATTCAGCAGCATTTGTTTAGATTAGTACAGATTATTTTATATGCTTCTTGAGACTGTTAATAAAGCAACAATTTTTTTTCCTTTCAGATGAAATGGTACATTCCGTAAATATTTCAAAGCCGAAATATGTATTCATGTCTCCTGATACTTATAAAAATTATTATGAAACTATACTCAATACAAACATTGTGGAAAAATTCTTCGCATTTGGCAGCGCTGTTAGTGATCCTAAGCTAACTAGTTTTGATGAATTTTCTAGAACATATGTAGATGTACAGCACTTCAGACCACCTACAGATACAAATGGTAAGATACAAATGGACACTCATATTCCTTGCTAGCTTATAATCGCGACTTTGAAGGGCGCAGTATTAGTGGTGTAGTATGACCGGGCAAAATTTTATGAAGGTTTTCTGAGATGAAAAATAGCCTAAGTTACTCCTTATATAGACAGCTACCTGGTGGTAAAATATTATCAACATCCAAGATTACCAGGACCAAATAAAATATTTAAACTGTGACCTGTGTGTGTTAAACTGTGTGTGTGATTAAATAACCGTGTGACCTTGGAAAAATCTATTATTTTGACATTACAAACAGACACTTTAATTTTATTTATTTGTATAGAGTATAGAAGATAGATTTTGATCCAAGCGTTGCGAAAATTGAATATTTGTAAACAATAACGAATGTTTTCTACTACTATCTAGACAATTTCTATAAAATTCATTGAATCTTATGTCAGTCAAATGTGTTGATGACGTTAGTCACTAATTAATTTAAAAATTATCAAATTTGATTTAGTCGTTATTTGAATGCAGATATATGGAAAACAATGCTTATCATGCAAAAGAATTAAAATACTACATTTAATTTATTTATTTATTTTAATACTAGCTTTTGCCCGCGACACCGGGTAAATGTCGGTTATCGACTATGTCTTTTCTGTCAAGTATCAAAGTATCTTCATACCAAATTTCATTTCAGCAGTTATTGATTTCCCATATAAATTTCGTAAACTACCTTTCCCGGGACTCAGACGATCTCCGTACCAAATGTAATCTAAATTGTAAACCGATTTAAGCGGTTTAGGCGTGAAGAGGTAACAAACAGACAGATAGAGAGATAGACAGATAGAGAGATAGACAGACAGACACACTTATGCATTAATATTATTAAGTACTGATCTGGATATTATGGATTATATTTAAAGTCGCAGTACCTCTGTCGTAATAAATTAATTTGTTGAACAACACCGTAGAAGAATTCATTAATCTTGTAGCGACAACATAATAATGAAATTTTAGTTGTAACTTTGTAATTAAAATACATTTTACAAAGGTTGCTGATTTAATAGGTTTGGCACGAACGGCTTTAATACTTTATTCGTCCGGCACAACGGGTCTTCCTAAAGGAGTGAAATTGACACACTTCAACTTAATCACCTCTGGTAGCCATCCTGAGTAAGTTATTTTTCTATTAGTTACTTTTCTATGTAGATTTTATGATATAGGTTTTTTATGCATGAAAACTACACTAATTCATACTACGAATTCGTTAAAATGTATTTCATAAAAGTGACAAGTTCATTACTAATCTAATACAGTCAGTTTATGTATAAAAAATAGAAAAGTGAACACGCTTAATCCATTGGATTGGTATATGAATATGTATGACATTTACATTAAAACTCTTGAGTTTATATTTCTGGTCACTTCAGAGCCCATTATGAATGTGTGCGAATACTTGATAAGAATATCAAGACAGTTTTATTTCTGACCTATTTGACTACTGTTATATCAGTTAGGTGTACAACTGACATCTTCGTTAATATATTCATCGGTATTATTTTTGTACTGCTAATGGTTTAACTCCTAAACCTGCAATTTTATCTACCTAGATGATTTAAGTATATTATTGCACTTGTTATTAAAGAGATCACACCGTCTGATAAGTTTTTTTGTAATTATAACGGTGGACGTCAGAAACAGATCATAATAAAATTAAAGCTATGATAAGATGCCACCACAACCTTACCTCCGATTATTTATTTAAATAAAGACAAAATAACAAAAAACATTTCGGCAGTTGGCCTTGTACGCGATTACATAAGTTTCAAAACTACCTATGAACATTTAGTCACTTTCTTTCCCATAATTTATAAATTCTATAATAAATTCACAATAGTCTATTTCCATATTACAAAAACAATTAGTACGCATTGTATTGTTCTTAACACTTTCATCTAGTGTTTGTCTCCTCTAGATGATTAGATTCAAATATAAATATTTCTCATGGATCATTTTACAGGCAATGAATCCATAAACAATTGAGTAAACTACGCTGTGTTGACCACACTACTTGTACCTTTACCTTGTCAGTATTGTAAATGAATTAAGTAAATACGGCGCCAATCAAAAGGAAGCGCTTGATCTTTCTTCATCGAATTACATCAACATTTTATACTACAGAAAAAACTACCAATGTATACAGTACATATTGAGTCGGTATATCCAGATATTTACAATAAAACATACAATATTTTCACAGCCAAGTGAACAAAGACCTGAGGTGTTTGACCATAGCGCCGTGGTCTAATACAGTTGGCATCATGTGCACATTAGATAATCTTAAGAATCAGAGGACTGTCATTTTCTTGTCAAAATTCAGAGAAGAACAGTATCTTCAATGCATTGCAACACATAAGGTATGTTATGGAAGTCATGACGTACGTTCTATTTATCTATACTAATATATTAGAGTTGAATATGCTTCCATGTTTCTATGTTTATGTTTAAAAGCTGTCATTGCTTAGGTCCGAATCAATGTTCATAATACATCATAATTCAGAATACAATAAAATTTTGTAGTAAAATCTCAGTTAGATACGCCTGCTATCCAAATTAACAATAATAATTTATAACTGCAATGTATTACTATAACTCACATTAACATTACCACTATAATCTCTTTTGGTTTAAATTGGCTGAATCTATATATTGGCTGTATTTTGCTACCCACAACGGTGTAAAGGTAAAGGAATTGTTGTTTTTTTCAGGCTGGGTTATTATTAGTCGTACCTCCACTAGTGGTGATGTTAACGAAATCATCCATTATACAGAATTATGATACAACATCTGTAGAATTAATGTACTGTGGTGGGGCACCTTTAGATTTGGCTGTTATGCTCGAAACCAAGCGGAGGTTAGTGCTGTAGTATTTTTTTAATAAATTATTTAGTATTTTATGCTTTCGAGTATCTTAGTTATTCGCAAAAGGGTTGTCACAAAGAATTCTTGCCCCTATTTAACAGAGATTCTGCTAGTTCCTGAAGCTCCCTCACCGTATTCGTTTTTTATACTCTCATAAATTTTTATTTCTGTCTTATTTTTACATGCTCAAGAGTGGGTGTCGGGCACGTGGCCCGCCATAAAAGAATTCAGTAAAAATTCGTTAGAATATTACACATTACGCCGTCCTCTAATTGTATCAGGGAAAATGGCTGGAAAATTGATGAATGATGATACATATAGTTAATACCAAAAAGTGACAGTCCTAGTCTGAGTACCTACATGACAGTGTTTCTCTCTTCTATTATTATGAGTACATTACATTAGACGAAAGCGCAAAAAAAGAAGTGATTAAGTAAAATCACTTCTTTTTATGCGCTTTCGTCTTCAGTTGATATTAGTTACATCGACTGTGTTATGTGATTGTGCAGAGAGAGCTTTGAAGTTAGTAACTTAATGAAAATTAAATTGTTAGTGTACAATAAAGAATTTGAATACCTATTTATAAATATGTGAAATTCTATTTTTGTATAAACCACTCAACATTATGAATATATGTTTTGAATGTGTGAATTTTATTTTGAAGTACATCGAACCTTCATTTGTAGGTTTCCTAATTTAGTTCGTATTCTCCAAGGCTATGGTATGACAGAGTCTACAGGAGTTCTGACCGAAGAATCAACCAATAGTTTTAAGGAGGGGAGCGTGGGTAGAGTTGCTCTAGGAAATATAGTTAAGGTAATTAGTAAAGACATCTTTGACAAATGCATTTGTTACAAAAGTGACATTTGTACTCTACTTACATTATGTATTGTTCACTATCCATAGACACAAAATGAGCAAATATGCAGAAAATTATTAATCTGGTGTCTCCTTTTTTCCAGTAGTCAGTCATGAAAATATTTTCATTATTAAATCGTCTACACGAAATAAAATAGGATAAAAATACTAATTAAATTTTGTAATTCTGCCTCAGTGATAAAGTAGCTTTTTTATTTATGACTTAGGTCACTGATTTCTGCTACCATGTGCTTTTAAATTAAACTTCACTTGTACAGAATAAATAAAGTAGTATTATTTTAAGTATAATCTATATGAATTAAGTTTCCTTTTTCTAAGTAAATGCAGAATTTGATTACCGTCCTCTAGGTCGCAGACGTTGAGACTGGAAAGACGTTGGGTCCTCGCCAAGAGGGCGAAGTTCGCATAAAAGGGCCGTCATTGTTCGGTGGTTATATCGGAAAGAATATCAATGATGACCTAGACGAAGATGGATTCTTCAAGACCGGGGACATCTGTTACTACGACGAAGATGGCTATTTCTTCTTTGTCGACAGAATCAAAGAATTAATTAAATATAAGGCTGGACAAGTAAGTACGGTTTCTATATTCAACACGTTACTGTTTTATTCTGTATCTATGGCAAACTGTAATCTTTTTTTCTCAGGAGAATTAGATTCAGGAGAATTTATTTTCAGGTGTCTCCATCAGAGCTTGAAGCTCTACTACTTCAACATCCAGCTGTCAAAGATGTTGGTGTGGTCGGTAAACCAGATCCTCTGGTTGGTGAGCTGCCAACAGCCTTCATCGTTAAGAAACCAGGAGTTCATGTCACACAGAAGGAGCTAATAGATTTTGTCGCTGGAAAGGTGAGATTTGTATCTCAGAACGTTTATATGGCGGTTACGTTAGGTCAAACGATGAAGTTAGGTTTTAAATTTATTCATATTTAAAAACACTTATAGTAAACCTAAATACTATTTAATTATTTATTACGAAAAAAAAATATCTATTTTTGATTGTATTTTATTGCTTAATTCAGTTTGTTTTTAAAACGTTTCTTTTTGGTTTACTTTCACCGTTCTTTTTGTTGTTTTTTTTTGTGGTAGGATTTTCGACTATTGAAGTGTACTATAATGTAATCTAAGTATATAAATTTACACAATGTACCATTTCCCGATTTAATAAAAAATATTTTAGAACTAACATTCAAACCAATATTATTATATTGGCAAATCAACAACTACAAAAAAAAACACAATAAATTCCACGATCGTACCACCGATGGTAGTTAAAATAGAAGAAATACTACTAAATTATTATTTACATTTAACAGCTTTCCAGCTTTCCAAAAGTATAAAACTAGTTGTTTTGGATTCTCGTAGATGTTTTCATGCACAACCCATAGTCATACCACGTTGTAATCATAACAAAGATAATAATGTAAATGCTATGAGTGATAACAGTTTACATTTATTCTTTTGTACATATATAAAATAATCACAAATAATGAAAGAAAATGACCAAAATCTATAAAGAATTAAGCAATACAAATAGTAAAAGATGAATAATTGATACCATTTCTTACTCTGATAACACAAAGTTATTCATTAGCAAGAACTAATGAGTTATCCTTGGTCATAGGTCATACGCTTCCATTAACTTACTTAGGTATTGGTTGGTAGATTTTAAACCCATCGCACATCAAATTTATAGTACGTAATGTATGCTAAAAACTCAAACCGATGCAAAGACATTTTAATTATTAAAATATTAATATGCCGTATTTATATGACGTGTAAATTACTAACTAAAGCAAGGTGTTAAAAATCTTCAGGGCTATAGTCAGATGCTTTCAATTCGATTACCTATACATTATTTAAAGGTAGGTAATTTTAAATCCTTAAAAAAAAGTATCTAATAATCCGTCCAAATGATAGAGTCCGAGTAGTGACGGATTAAGATTACGGAGTGTCACCGCCCCTATTCATCCTGTGAGTGTCGTAAGAGCCGACTAAGGGAGCAAACTACGCAGGATAACAGCACTGCAAGGAGAAGGAAAACTTGAAATAAAACATTTGCCTACCCGTCTGCCCAGCTTGGTATAGTAGGCCAAAACCTTCTTTCTAGAGGCTGTTGATGACGATGATGTTGATCTAATAATCTTCGAAAATGACTCGTATTGCTATGGAGTTTTAGCAGCATAAACAGACGTTTTGTCAACATATTCAAATACAGATATTTTTTACACAAAAAATATTGGAGCTATCGTCGATGGGGTTATCGGCTCTGTAATCTATTGACGGAATGGTTGCTATTTCATACCAGAACTGAAAACAAATCTGGATATTTCACTCAATTGGTGAAAAGCAATAAAAAATTGTTCAACAGCGGTTTGCTATGAAGCCGTGGTCAGTAAGCCAAGCCGGCCCAAATATGCTGTAAAATGGCTCTCCAACAGTTTCATTTTCATCACACATAAAACAATCATTTTCTTCATATTACTAAAAGTTTATATCATACAACTACAAAATAAATTACGTCAGTACAAATACTCAGTTCTAAAACCTTTTATTATTTTAAACTATCTTCGACCTTTAAATATCTTTGTGTCAGGTTGCAGATAAATTCATTTCTGGGGAGGCCAACAGCTTTCTCCCTTTGTTTTAACTAGGACTTTGTTTATTACCATTCGATAAAGATTTATTATTTAGAAATAAATCTCGTTTATTAAGTTCTGACATTGTTGGTGGCTTAGTTATTTGACTAAATAACCAACTGTTTTCGAATGGCAGTCAGTTTAATTAAGAAGCCCTGTACCAACCCGACTGGCCGGCGTGGTATAGTAGACCAAAACCTCCTTTCTTAGGAGAGGCTTATGTCCAGCAGTGAACTATTAAAGGCTGTTGATGATGATGATGAGTCAACACATGGTTAATAATCATATGAACCCAACTGGTCAGTATGAAAGATGATGAAATCTTGAAAAAATTAAACTAATCAAAGTGTTTAATGCTCTCTTTACCTCTTTAGAAAAAACTTTACGATATCCTTACTGAGAAAACAGTTGAACCGTTATGTAAGCAACTTACTCTTTTAATTAAAGTTTCCAACGCCCACTGATTTATCTAACCATTGTTGCTTGATTTAAAGTATTATTTGAAAATACGGCAAACATTCATTATCACAAAGTTTACACTGAAGGTATAATTGGCATAGTCTTAAGGCAAATAATTGCTGTACTTCTTGATATTAATAACAATATCTTGAATCGATTATTATTATGTAGATTTACCCATAAGAAAAAGAATAGAACCCTTATTAAGATATGTCATATAATATGATAGTCATCATGTTTATAGTCAAATTATACTAACCATAGGTTTACTGCAACAAAGTTTATCAATTTATATCTATTAATTCTATTTTAACAAAAAACTGTATTCTAAAAATAGTCAAGAAATTATTGGAAATACGTACTCAGATCATCGACTATTAAAATAAAAGCGCAGTTGTAAAATACATTTTCCCAAATGATTTTGTAATATTAAGGTATTGAACCCCTTGGTGCAGGCACGGGAGATCGGCGTTAAGTATTCTTAGCTTACCAAAAGCAGAAAAATTCTGAGTCGTTAGAGAGTTTTTAAACAAAATCATATTTTTCCATTTTACTACGTTTATCAATAGCATTTGTTGGCAATAATACTATGTTTATTTTTATATGTGCAGGTATCATCGTGGAAACAATTACGAGGCGGTGTCCATTTCATCAAAGAAATTCCGAAGGTTGCCAGCGGCAAAATATTGAGAAGAATATTGCGTGACATGCTCAAGAAACCTGTTAGCAAACTATAGTCTTTTTTTAACAATGATTCTTACGCCTAATATTCTATTACTATACTTGCGTATAAGACGTAATAAATATTTAGTCATTTATTTTACAAAGTCATCTTTAATTACACTGTGAGTTTATAATTGAAATGTATTGAACAGGAAAGTACCTACTTGTATATAGCACTATTTGTCGAAGTACTCGTGTTTTGATTGCATGGACCAACAAAATTGCTAACCAGTTTTATTTTATAGCAAACAATTCCAAACATTAAAGAACAGAAGAATGTTATTTTTAGTTGTGTAAGAAAAACAACCTAATAAAATTGGGACGTTCTACGTGTCTAGCTTAGAGCATACCAAATCATCTACTCGAGAAGAAATATATTAATTTATGTCCAAAGCACATCTATTTAGGGCATATTAAATAAGCTCATGTAGGTACGATTTATCGGTAATAGGCCATAAGACATTATAGCTTCGTCCTAGACGGAGTAAATTGTATGGTATAGCGCATTCGACCCTCGCCCACACGCTATAGGCACGTAATGACACTGCAAATGGTCTATTTAATTTTTTTCTTAGGTCTAACCGCGACCAAGGAATACCTTGTTTTATTTCTTTGCACTGTGGAAGATAATTTTAAAATAAATTACGTCAATATATACTTCCTAGATGTATGCTTCAATGTTTTAAATAAAATATGAAGGCGCAATATGTTGTAGATATATTATAAATAGTGTAATTACGCTATATTTTTAAATGTTCATATTATTACATTTTCAAAAGTGTATCAGTGTATCAGATTTTGTTTCTAAGTACTTCTTAAATCCCACATTTTCTTTTTGCTATCTGCCGCCATCGTTTATCATCGGGGAAACAGTTGCTACGTTTTAGGTATTAATGTAAACGTTTTTACGAGTGTTCGTAAAATACCAGCTTAGGTGGTAGAATTAAACCTAGAAGTACTTTTTAATGGCTTTCTCAATGTTTACAAAAGTTTAACATTTTAATACTTTCGTAAAACACAGTCACGTCAACATAAAACATAGAAGAGGCGTAGGTATAGATATAAATAAAAGTGTACAAGCAGACTATAAAAGTACATAAGTTTATAACTTATGTGCGTAAATGGCTATAGAGGCCGACATCTTACAAGCTAGTAAATATTTACCTTTCAAAGCGGCATTTACTCTATCCAAATCATAAAGCGACAATGGAAGAGGCTCGTTCAACAACCGTAGTCGCCGCTTATTCCCGTTGCTTGTATCTTCTGAATAACCGTCACTTAAAAAGATACCTGATGAATGTCTATACAGTTTGTAAGCACACTTGTTCGTTCGAAGCCAGTCAACAAACACTAACGCTCCGTTTAAAGTACGCTCGTCTCCTGAAACGACGTGACTCCTCAGATCGTCGATATTGCCCTTCATAACCAGCCGTATGTATAGCTTATACAACATAAACACTTTAGTGTGTGGTTTTGTGCCGCGCTTTATCTTCTTCACGCTCAAGACCCTGGCGGTGAAAATGTATTTGGATTCAGACACGGCTGACGACAGAATCTCGTAGTCATTAGTTATTGTCTCGTTTAAAACACATTTGGAGCCATTTATGTCTTTCTTGCGGCTATCCGTATCCCGTTTCCTAACAGCGCCCCTTATAAGGAAATGGGCATAAATTATCGTAGAGCAATAAAATAAAAACACTAAAAATGTTAACTTCATATTTGTTATTTTACAGTGACTTTACTTCTGCGTCATATAATAGATATTGGAGTCATTTTAGTGGTTGACACGTAGAAACTTTTGATGTGGATCGTAAAGACGCCGCGAACACAAAGTTGCGCAAGCGACAGCTTTGGCGCCACCGAGACGCGTGCGCTAGCGCAGCCTCACGCGTTGACTGGGAGACCTCGCAATTCAATACAACCTTCATCAACTTAAATAAACATCTACCTACGTCGAAATAAACTATGACTTCGAGTGGCTACATAATTACTAAAACTAATAATAATAAAAGAAAAATATTCCACGTGACATGATTGCATTACTCCAAAAGCTTTAATTATCTAGTAAACAGAAATCGTCTTTATTGCTGGAGAAGGTAGTTCGATCTGAAACGAATATTTATTATTCGAAATGTGATGTAACTAAACGATAGAGGTGTATCTAGATAACAGTTAGGCAATACATGTACTAGTTAACACTTATTGCTGTATGCGCTGCAGTGGCGCCCGGGTGCACCTCTGAATATTCATATACAAATTGGGAGCTGAAGTAGTAGATAAACTTTTCCTACGTTCCATATTGCATACTAAAAATTTTAACAACAAAATATTATCCAGCCAGTTACTATATTTGTAGCAAAATATTTGTCTGTTGTTTTAAAATTTATATTATATGTCGTATATTTTATTACAATACTACTATACTATTATGTGTATAAAGAGACAAAGGTAATTAAACTCACACGAAATTTGTGATGATGTTATCTAACAAACTAGAACTCTTCTAAGCTAAAATTTGTTTCAAGAAAGGAATTTAATAAATCGTATTATTTTAAAACTGGATTTAAAAATGTTGTTAGCCGTCATCGCACGTACATAGGTGATTGCAAGCGCTTACACGAGGTATTTGGAAAGTGGTACGAGTGTGGGCGGGCGAGTCGCCTCGCTCGCTTTCTTGACGAATCTTCAACGTCGCATTTTATATTTTGTAACATTTTTCATAGACTAAATTGCTTAAGTGTTTACTTTATAGTTCCACTTAAAAACCCTTAATAAAATTACTGTTTTAAAAAAATATCTATCTTTCCAACAATATTAATACACCATTGAATACGCATGCAACTTTCTATGACCGTAAAAATACCTAAGTATTTGCCTAACGATTAGTAGTATGCACGTTATTTTGCAAACATAAGGTTACCTAACTTTATTTATTGGAAAACTGCTTTTCAAATCTAAGTTTGACAATCGTCATACTGGTTTACCTCGAATACAGAAGACATAGAAGAATTATTAAACACTAACATATCGTTACCAAACACTTGGTTTTATATAGTAAGAAACAACTCTGCAAAATCAGCTAAACTGAGAAATAAATCCAAGATCTGTCACTATCTTATGATGCAAGAATAACTACAAATTCTAAATGAACGTTTCTTGAAGTTAGTAGCCCTATATCTAACAAAATGTTTATTGAATATTATCAACACATTACTAGCGTAAGGTATTTTAATTTAATAGTCATTACAGGGACGCAATCTGCAATCAGAAGCCAGGTTCGTGTGTGGGACATTGGTATCGTGACGAATATTTTCTTAACTTATTATTTTCTTTACGCCTCCTTCGATGATAGTTTTAGATATAAAAACGCCCGGTGGAATAACGACAGTCACAATCAACCTAAGATATTCGACTATACATCCGATATCTTAAATAGAAAATACTTTAAAATATCTGTAGTAAAAACAACGTTTTGAGCTCCAATACCATCCTTAGTAACCTTAAACGCCTAATGAAGCAGATTAAATCGAGTACATTAATAGTCTCCTAGTTTATCTGGCAGGATTCTCACGGATCGTGCGGCCTGCAGACTGATAGAGATCACTCGGTCGCAGCGGGTGACATGGTAGGCACTAACTAAGCCGATTCTGAAGTAATACATAACAACAAAGAGTCACGTGTCTCTCTCAGTATACGATGAGACGTCTGATAGGGTCGAGCCACGCGATCCCACCACGCCACAGGGACGTGCCGACGACTGGACTAAGGACGACGCGATACTCATCTCATCACTGGATTACGCTAGGCTTAAATTGGATCTTCTTGGAATTTTTAGGTTAAAATGGCTTTCGCAATAAAATTTATTGCGGAGTATTTGACTCGGAATAAAGTCTATTCGTGACCCACTGCGAATTCAATTAGAGAGCATCTCAGCGTAATATTATTTACATTCTTTCTTACTGGGCAACCCTCTTTTATAAAAGGTACAAAAGATATTAGAGTAGCGAATAAAATAGGAATTTGCAGCACTCGTTTCGTGAAAATTGTTTGAAAATGGAATATTTGCAGTGAAGAGATATTTGACGTCATAACGTAAATACTCTATATAGTTTTCCACTAGCAATACTTATTTAGTGGTCGTAGGATAGTATAGTAGTAAGTAAAAGTAAATGTAAGTAAAAACCATAACTTACTATGAATATATACGCAGTTAATTATAATAACTTTATGTTAACAATAATCTTGGTGAGTATGCACTGATTGATCCTCGTGGGCACAAAACTATGTTTATGTTAAGCTCAGCCGGGCAGACCACAAACGTTCCGATCGCATTCATTCCATTAACTTAACGAACAGTTGTCAAGATGTCGATCAAAATCAACTTTTAATACCTTAAAGACGTTTATGTACATTATGGATGTAACACCCACACATTACTGTTATTTGTACGACTTTAAAACCGATGGCAATGCATTCATTTTATTGTGTTTTTACTTTCTTGTTTTATACTATAAGTGGGCAATCCATCCAGCTATAACTTGTAGAACTTTTATGTATTGCATTACTTTGCAAAGAAATAAATATAGATGTAAACTCCTTTTGAGTATAAAGTAAAATAACATAGAAGTTAATTTATATTACTGTAAATACCGTAATCGTGATTAGCTGCTAATACGGAAAGGCCGTGACTGATGTTCTGTTCGATGGATGTTTCTTTGGTTTTTAAAGTACTAGCGTGTCATGCTATCCAATCTTTTATTACTTTCTTCCTTTTTACTTTAAACGTACCGCATTTACAAGTTATAGGTAAACCATTTTACTTCAAATTGAGAAAACAAACAACTAAATGCAAAGTGTTAGTCTACGTTACTGATATCAAAACTTTTATTATTAGTATTATGTTTTACGTATTATTAGTACTGTTACATACCTTTGACAGCAGCATTAACTCTATCTAAATGATACAAGGTTAATGGCATCGGATCCGTCAAAAGCTTGAGTCGAGGAGAAGGCCCTCTGCCAGCGTCAGCATAAGATCCGTCACTTAAAAAAATCGCTGACAATCGAGGCCGCGGTGCTGGTGCACACGAATCCTGCGCTCGTGGTCGTTCCACCATCAATGTAGAACCAGTCAAACTATCCTCCGAGCCTTCCAACTTAACAAAATTTCTCAGTTCACTAATGTTTCCCTTTAACAGTCTCCGAAGATACACTGTGTACAAATTAGATTTCTTTCTTGTCTTTTGGTCGTCCGAACGAAACTTTCTCACATTTAAGACTTTACCCGTAAATATAAACTTTGATTTTCCTATCGCTTCCATCAATGACCACTCATCATTGACAATAGTCTCATTGAAATTGCATGGCGGCAGGACAGCTCGATGCCGCCGGTGTGATGTGTATCTTTTTCTTACTTTGCCGCGTATCATGAACTCTCCACCGACGGCGATCGCCAGAGAGATAACATAAATAACAATCATCGAGGGCTTCATATCGCAAAACTATCAATTGAAACTTCTAAGTACAGTCTCAACAAAGTCTCTGTCACATTACGAGTATTTATAAACAATTTATCTACACAGAATTATATTACCGGGCCCTGGCTTATTAAAAAGTCGTGGCATCGTATCTCACTAACAAAAACTCATGAAATTTTAATATCTGACTTATTGTATTCTCAAGTTTTTTTAAAATACATTCATTTGATAAAAACATAACATTTAGTTAATAGCGGTGGATCGATCGTATTGTGTTAGTAAACAAACAGAATGCTCTGTGTCAACGATAGTCGTGTGTGGCGACTAACACGTGCGCGCGCGCAGCTTGCCGGCGCTGACTGAAGTCTGTCACACGCAGCCTCCCGCTACAAAATAAGGGAAGCCTCCGCATACACTCATGTTGATCGTAAACATTTAATAAACTCTTAATTGACCTGTAAAATACACTAAAATGAATTGAGTAGGCACTTAAGATAACTCGCGTTTAAGAAGTGTTTCATGCTATTCTTTGCTGAAAGGATTTTTAACTAACAAGGAACAGGAGCTAGAAAACTTTTAGAAAATATGCATTTTATTAAACAGTAAAATAAGTATGTGATGATGGCTTATGATTTTCTGCACCAATCTTTGTATAGTCTTTTCTCCTAGCTTTAAATAGCAATAGTCTGGAAACCAATCGCAGCTAATAAATCCGTCTGTGGCGAAGCTGTTAGTGTTGTGCATAACTCAGGTCGGCGCGAGAGTCCGTGGTACGCTAGCGTGGTTGTGAAAGCCCGCGATCGCGATGCGTGCGCGTGGGCGAACGGGATGTGGCGCCGTGAACACCGCTTGTTATTAGCGTGGTGTAAGGTAAAGGCGATATCATCGATTATAATGAGCCTTTGCTGTATAAATTGCCCCCAAAAGTCTTTCAAATCAACGAAGTTATTATGAAAGTAAAAAACTTCAGAATGAAAGCCTTGGCAATCCTGTTGTTGCAAATACTCTTCTTAAATACAGGGGTCTTATGCCTCACCCTGTTCTCAGCTTACTCATAAACGATCGGTTTGAGAAATAATTTGCTCTAGCTAGAGATTTTGTTTACCACTTAAGGCTACTTAAATAGTTTGTCTCATATGTATAAGTATTTATTGCTAAGTATAACTCCCAATATCGGTGACAGTGACATGATATAGTGACATACATACTTAAAGTAGAATTTTATGTATAGAGACAGATATACAGTACCAAAGCAGCCGAATGAATCAAAGAGAGACAGGTACGATAGCATATTTCTGTCGTATACTAACCGACATAATTGCGCTGCAATCATTAATTCTCATGAAATTAGATTTTTATTGTTCATGTTCTCACCAGTTCTGTTTTACGTAGCGGTCAGTTCGAGGGCACTTTATGCTCAACGTAGGATTTCATGAAGTTGGTAGCATATAAATAAAGTTTATTTTTCGAAATATTATACTGCTACCTGTTTTGGTACAGGTTTGCCAAGATTATCTACAAACAACACGTAGTGCAGATTTTACTAACATTCTAATGAAATTTATGCTGTTAAAATTAAATTTATAAAATCCCCGACACACATCTTGGATTTGAAATTTGTCATAGTGTATAGTACTCTACTAGTCAAGCCGTTTCATTTGATACCCATATTGAGGGAATTAGAAGGGGATTTTATATTTACTTCCTCAGTAAATATTAAAGCCGCCATTTTGTGGCGGCGGCCATCCTGAACCGATTTTCATCAAATATAGCTAAAAACACTCCCGACTAATTCACCTTTCAAACAAACATAAAACAAAATCAAAATTGATTCATCCTTTCGGAAGCTACGATGCCACAAACAGACACACACACACACAGAGAGGCACGTCAAACTTATAACCCCGTCGTTTTTGCATCGGGAGTTAAAAATAAGTAAAATCGTGTGTTTAGAACCAAGTTACTTACACCGATAAATGTTAGGTTACGTATAGGTCCTCACAGCGCGAAAGACCGATGTGATTCAGCACCCCGATGCATTGCCTCCAGTTTATAAGTGTTCGTGATTTTTGTACACAAGACGTGATTATAAGTAATAATTTAATGTTACGGGAATTTAATGTTTATTTTTAACAAGATTATTAAAAAGGCACAGCGCGAGTGACACCTACTCTTCTTTTACGCTAGCTCACTATACGAGCACTTTATCATCTTAATACGAAGGAAATTATTTACTTTAAATTAAGCACCTAATGTACAGTCTTCTACTTTCTAATACAAGTGCAAAAAGAACGACGTCTTTCTTCTGCCTTTGAAAAGTAGGTATCTCCTCGAATTTGTCAAATCATGCAACTATTATTTTTTCTTGCAGTCTTTCCACTTTTATCACTATTCTTTTAAGTTTCTGTTCTTGTATAATGTTTACATGCCAATAACTTGTTGGTTTATTTTCAAGTACAAGCAACGAACTACCACAAGCAGTTTTACAGAAACCAGAACTAAACTATAAAAGCTCCTGTTGCTTTGGGGGTTCCTTAAACGTAGACATTATAAACAGCCAGGATGTCAAAAGGCAATTATAACAATGAGTAGAGTCCATACGATATCACTTTTTTAAACAATTATTTCTTGACGGTTCTATCATCTAAAAAACAGTTATGTACGATTGCTTAATCTAAAGCGGTTACTGATGTCTATAAACACTTGTTACACGAATGCCTGTACACTTCCAACCCTATGGACATCTCTCTTTTAGCTTTAGCGATCCTATTTGTTAGTGGTAAAAATGTTGCGGTTGTATAATATACTAGCCCTTGCCCGGCTCCGCCCGCGTGTATGTCGGTTATTGCGGTAAAAATCTCGCTGAAAGTACTCGCTGATAATGTAGCTTTCTAATGGTGAAAGAATTATTAAAATCGCTTTAGTGGTTTAAGCGTGAAAGCTTAACAAACAAATAAACAAATTTCAGATTTACAGTATAAGTATGGATTATGTACCCCAAAGTTATTCTAATTATAACTTAAAACTCAAAAGTTTGGTTATAATTAATTTAAAATGATTAAAATTATTCATGATTCAATTTGATTGCTATATCATGAATAAAGCATTAAAGAAGCATTAAAAATACCAAACAAATTTTACAATTTACAAACACACATAGAAACGGACACAAAGAACACCCAGGCTCAAAACAACAATTTGTATATCACACACAGTCTTACCCCATGTGGGGATCGGACCCACAACACTCAGCGCAGTAGGAAACGGCGAGGAGACCGCTTAAATCACTAGGCCATCCGTGCAGTAAAAAAATTAAAAAGTAAACATTTATTATGCTCTTTTCACGCCTTTTACACCTTTATAAGAAATCAACTAAAGTTACCTTACCCACTCAACTTTGGGTATTGAATAACAGTTCCTTCTTGTCTGCGTCGTGTACTTCCACTATTTATTTTACACAGAACTGATGAATTGGTAATAGATGTATGGATTAGTTAAACCTAGTTAATAAACTAAAATATATTGACTTTAAACGTGATTAATAATGTTTTAAACCCTTATTACTTTAATAAGATAAAAAATAATCATAATTATTCCTTAATTTTAAAAAAACATTACACACCCTTTCTTACCTCGTTGCGATCTACAAATATTTTCTACTAAATCTTAACGAGGTAATCGTTACGATTTACAAGAAAATGGTTACCCACCTAATAACTACAAGCAAATATTTTGTTGTAAATAGACATAAAATATTTCTGCCATAAATTACTTAAAGGGTTTCCTCCGTTTATGGCGTACACCACATCTGGAGGCGATACTAACAAATCTTTGAGGTGTAATTGCAGTATACCTACATCGATACAGAAACTGTGTGGTAAAACGGGAATGTTATCTGCGCCACAACAAACTACAACACTAATGGTGGAACGATGTAACCAACGAGATCAGATTATTTACGTTTATATTTCGTAGATACATTTTAATAGCAATTTTACAATCTTTACTTGAGTCTCTTTTGCAATTAATTATGGTTTCAAGTGTGTTTCAGTGCACTTTGATCAGATGAAATCTTTGTATTCTTAGCTAACTAATGCGATTAAAGGAATTTTGCCACTATTCTATTTCTTGAAACTTCTACTTTATACAAATTATACAAGTCAGGTTTTAACATTCACAGTTACCAAGTAAAGACCAGCAAGAAACATACTATTTTTCAACAACGGACATGAAAAAAACACGTGATGGAACTAACTGAATTTGGACAGTAATGAAAAATAATTACTTCATTAGCTTCTGTAAATGCACATCGTGTTATAGTGTTGTAATTTTAAAAGGATAAAACTAAAACTTTGACTTACATGAGCCAACTATATTACGGCGTACCTTTGCATTTCTCTATTTATATTGTTTCTTGAAAATCTGTAAGTATATGTAAAAAAACAAACAGTCGTAAATAAAACAGGAAAATTCATATAACTCCTAAGCTAGATATTCAGCAATAGAATTAACTGGTTTTTATGATAGAGGGGGCAGACGAGCGGACGGGTCACCTGAGGAAAGTGACCGTCACAACAGTGGCCTTTTAGGAAGGAGTCTCTCTTTCTTGATGATTTGATTGTCGTATCGGTCCAGAAATACCGCAGATGTTAACCCGTTCCACAGATTGGTTGTGCGAGGCAAAAAGTTTCTCGAAAAGCACACAGTATTGTAGTGCCAACTATCCAGGTGATGGGGATGAAAATTTTATAGTTATAGCCTTTGTTGTAGTAATCTTTATTATTAATTAAATAATTGATTGCTAAAGAGCGGTTTTAAACTAATAAACTTTCCAGATGTACCTATTTATACACAACATCTCGAAAGTATATTAGTGGAGGTGACTTGTGGAGGCACTATAAACCATGTAAAATTAGCCATCCTGATCATCAACAAACATCATGACGTTTGATGGGTACATGCAAAAATATCCTTTCTCCCATTTTAACCTATCCATTTAAGATACATTTTTAATA